TCCTAAGTTGAAGCCAAATAATAAGATAGCTTAGAAAGTCACCGAAGTTCTCCTTCGGATCTGTGGCATCCTCTAGTGTTTCCTCCTTTGGACTCCAAAATAAAATGTTCCAAATTTGAACCAATCCCCCTTCACACTTCTTAGTCCAATATCTTTGAAATGTCCTTACCATTTGAACTCCTTGAAGATAATTTTTCCATGATTTCTATCGAGAGTATTCTTAGGTAACTTCAGTTATCTAAGATGTAATTAACTATAGGGGCTTGCCCTTATAGGAAGTTTTTCCCGAACCCAGCATAATATAAACCCTATTTAATTCCTTATATTAAATAGGGGAACTTGTCGGCCAATACATTGGTTTCGCAGACCAAACGGATGTCATAACTTTCTTTAGTTTATTTGATCGAGCCTCACTCTCAATTCTTGCGTTCATCCTTCGGGATAGATACATGATTTGAGATAAAGTGCTCTTTCATCTAAACTATGAAAATTATGGGGTCAGTTTGACTTCATCTTTTTCAAAACTAAATTTTTTAAAACGTCCTTCCGAAGCGGGCAACGGGATTTCAATTCCGATGACCGACAACTTCTTACGGGCAAACCCTACACTAAAAATAGTGCCGACACAACCTCTCAGAAAACTGCTAGTTTTGGGAGGTTTATGGCGCCTAAGTGCCAGTGGCCAAGCGCCAACCTCTCATAGTTAGGTTCTTGCTTCAATTTCCATTTGGTTTAACTCGATTTATGTTCTTTTCTTTTCCTGCCACCACCTACAAAACAACAAAAACCATCCTCAAAGTGCAGTATCATCGTATAAAATTCAAAACATATAACTGCAAGTACGAAATCAACAACACATCTGTCGGCGATAGCTGGCTTACTGGGGTTGACCTTAGTCGACGGTTATAGAAATTAGAAGTTATTATCAGGTATTCAATACATCGCTAAATGTTAATAGCATATTTGAGATAAGTTGTATACAAGCAAGCAAAATTTACTGACAGCAACGAGCAGGGGCAACTGACAATGATTGATGGTGGGTGGCGAGTCGTAGTTGAAGGTGGTCGATAACTATAGAGTCCGGAAGTTATCACGGTGTCTTTGGTTCATTACATCACTGAAATTCCACTCTTGTGGATAGTCTCTGCAGGAAAGGAAAGTTTGGTCATTCATCGAAGAACTCCAATAATCATCTGATCAGACAACCCACACCGATCACCCTTGTTTAGGTTCTTTAGATCACTCTCATTGAGAAGTTTGGCCTATGTCATATTTGGAGTTAAATTGACTATTCAATTAACGATTCAAAGCCTTCAATTGTGTTTTAATGATTTTATTTAGATTTGATTGGACTCAGATTAAATAAATTTTGACATCAAAGGGTTCGTCTTGTTGAGATCGACAGTTTGATAACAAACTTGTTAAAATTAGGACTCTGAATGATCTTGAATTTAAATATGAAATATTTCTTATTCAAAAAATACATTGAGATTCATGTTAGATCGTTGAAATTTGTTGATGACATCCTCTCTCTCTCTCTGTCTGTGTATATATATATA